ATTGACTTGTTTGTATTTTTACAGACGTTCCAGCACGCCCAGCCTAGACCACTTTGTGGCCCCTTCACTAGAACTAAGACAGATGCACACAGTCAAACGTACACGTCCTGGCCGTCGGTCCGACACACACTAACACACATGCATGTGCCAACAATAAGGAGCGCATTGATATGAAAGAAGGCTGCTGATTGGTAGCATGAGATGCAAACAATATAGGCTAAGCGAAAATGGTTCACGATGTAGGCCTAGGGCATGGTTTATTCCAGGAGTAGATAAGGTTCTTTGCGGGAGAAAAATGAGCGAAGCCACGATATATCAGCGAGGACTGTTCACCCTGCAAGCGACTTCGCTGAATCCGAGCTTACCTTATTTATGTGTTTGTTGAATCTGTTGGTTGTTTTTTTTAAAACTGATTCTAGTATGTGAATAGCAAAAAGGCATGAAACAAGGAATCCATCCCCTTTCGCTGAATGAATCCGAGTTTTCTTTGAATCTGAAGTCCACTGTATACTGGAAAACATCAAGCGAGTCTATTAGGATTAAAAAAGGCTTTGTCAAGACAGTGCACACTACACACAACACACAGTATCCACTTGTTAGCTAATTGATAATATCATCTTTCTCCCACGAGAAAGACATTTAAAGAGAGAAATAAAACTCTCGGCTCTGAATACAAATTATATTATATATATCAAGGAGTTTACAGTAATGGAGGATGCTCTGTGGGCGGCACCGCACGCCTGATAGGAGCCCTCTCTCGCAGCGGAACTGTGGTCTACCTGCGCTGCGCTCACGCAATGGAATCTAGATAAGAAAGAAGGTTTTATTCCGAGATTAGGCAAGTCAATGAGTAAAAATGCCTTCCACCTGTGTGGTGTTTAAGTGTAAGAACCGATATGATGCTGCAGTGGACAGAAGTTTTCACATGTGTTGTTTTCCTCTTTAAAAAATCTGAATGAAAGTGTTTTTATGCCCCCAGCGACACAATTTAGATCATTAACTTTTATAAGGGGCTGGCTGCGACGCTACATGCCAAGGCAAACCCGGGCAGAAAGGGGTACACTGTAACAACACCCCAGAAGAAAGACCGAGATACTTGATTCAAAAAATATATTCTTATTCGTGTGTGTGTGTGTGTGTGTGTGTGTGTGT